CCCAGTCCATGAGCTCATCCGACCCTCCAGCTAACTTGGGAGCAGGGGAGGTGGGGCACCATTCCTCTTTCTTTTTTTTTTTTTTTCATAAGAGAAAACAGACTCAGAGAGTTCTGGGGAGTGAGTTATCAGCTGTCAGTGGTCCCACAGTCTCCCGAGCTGGGGCCTCCCCCCTAAACCAGGAGATTATGGGCACTGAAGCAGGGATTTCCTAACCCACCACTGGGCTGAGACAGCAAGTCTGTTAGGTATCAAGATCTCAGAAGCGGTTTCTTTTTTCCTTTTTTTTCCTAATGTCACCAAACTGCTTTTTAAAGCACCGTTTTGCTGAATCTATTGGCTGTGGGGTGTGGGGCCGGTCAATCTAGCCGTCCCCACCCATTATAGCCCCTTATTCCTTCATTTTTAGGGGATAAAACAATTAACATTTGGAGAGCCACCCACCTTCTCCAGCCCTTCATTTCACAGGTAGGAAAGCTGAGGTCCAGGTGACTGGCCATTGTGCCTGGAGTTCATGGCAGTTCTTTGCCTAGGACAGTGGTCTTTGTGCACCTTCATTAACTGGACAGACGTTCCATGCTTCAAATGAGGATGCATTGATGCCTGAGACCAACACGGACTAGTAGAGCTTTTTTGGGTGTTTGAAATGACCACTGAGCACTAGAAATGGGACTAGCCCCTTGAGGAAGTAGATGTTCCATCTTATTTAATTTTAATTGACTTAAATTTGAAATGCCGCCTGTGTTTAGGATGTTATCATATTGGACAGTGGGGCGCTAGACCAATGTTTCTCAAGGTCGAATGTGGAACCCACTTGGAGAATTTCAAAAATACTGATTCCAGGTTTTCATTGATTTTAACTGGCTTAGAGTAAAGCCCGAGCAATGGGATTTTTAAGATTCCCTTGTTCATTCTCATGAGCAGTCAAGTTCTAGAGACACTGGTCTAAGTGTTAAGCTCCAGGAAGGACAGAGGCCATGCCGGCTGTGTACATCACCGTTCTCGCTGGCTAGGAACTCAGCGAGGAGCCAGCTGTGTTCCCGAATCTTCGGGAACTTCACATATCCTGGGGAGAGGAAGTGCTGTATTACATTATTTAAAAGGACTATGTGATACAAAGGAGTGGAACTGGTCACTTCCACCTAGGGGAGGGAGCAGGAGTGAGGGTCTCTCTCTCTTATTTTTTGTTGTTGTTGTTAATCGTCACCAGAGGGTTTTTTTCCCCATTGCTTTTCAGAAAGGGGAAGGGAGGGAGGGGGAGAGAGAGAGAAAGAAGGAGAAGCATTGATGTGAGAGAGACACATCGATTGGTTGCCTCCCGCATGCACCCCAACTGGGTACGGGGAATGAACTGCAACCCAGGTACATGCCCTTGACTAGGAATAGAACCCAAGACCCTTCAGTAGTCGGGCCAGTACTCTAACCACTGAGCCATATGGGCCAGGGGAAAGGGGGGGGGGTGTCTTTTTATGGTAATGATTCCAGTCGTGAATTATAAATAAGGTATATTTTTTCCCATTTGTTGCAATAGATGTATCTGCCAGGCAAGTCAAAACTCAAGTCTGTCATTCACAATAGGATTAACCTGGGATTATGGAGAATGTAATTAACTGATCCGTTTTATCTAAGACCCACAAAAGACACTTCATGCTGTCTTTGAAAGTCCTGTTCGTCTGAGAGTGTTTGGTGCACGCTTCAGAAATCGCCCTGCACGTGCACAAGGCACTTGACTAGTTCGCTGTATTCCATTACTTTTATTTAATCCTTAACTTAAAAAAAAAAAAAAAAATCCCATTCCTTTTGATAAATGACGCTAATACCTTTGAAAAGAAAGAACTGGGCTTCAAAGATCGGATTATTTGAAACCACAATGAGATCATTACGGAGCTATTGTTGGTGTGTTCTTTCTAAAATAAGAGGGGGGGGGACCCTCTGTGGTATGAGGGATACAAATGAAAAAGGTCATTTACAAATGTGGCAGAGTTTACTCTTAGTGTGGTAAGGTGGTTCAGGGAGATGCATTAGAAAGAGGCCTCTGGAACAGCCCCCCACACTCTGGTAGGCGTCAGGCTTCCAGTACTCGGGAGCAGCCTGGCTTTCGGGAGCCCTCACCCCTGTCCGTGGCTGACTAGGCTGGGTGGGTGCGCATGGGCCGCCCTGGCCTGGGGACACCGGCTGCACTTCTCAGAATTCGGAAGGCGCTCAGCGGTGGTGAGTGGAGGTGCTCTCTGCCTTCACTTTTGTAATTATTTAAAAAAAACAAAAACACACAAAATCCAAAAAAAGCCACATCAGGCCCTTGTCATTTACTAAGGCCGCATTGGGGTAATTCCCCCTCTTATTGTTTATTCTTTAGAAAACAGACGTTGTGGAAAGCGGTTCTCTGTGAATTCAAATTCTCCAGTTAATCTGGCTCACCCAGATTGAAACGCTTGGTGATCAGTTTAAGGTTTGGTCATCACAGGACTAGACGTTGGAGATTATGGATATAGTTGTTTACTTGGAAAAGGCTGGAGGAAGCAAATATGAGAAAACTGGAGGGACATGATGCAAATTCACCTGCAGAGAGATGGTCACCGATTCCTCTGTGGCCCTGTACATGGTCTTGCTTGTGCCCATTGCATCATACCATCGTTCATCTGCTTAGACGGTTGTCCCACCATTGCTTGAGTAGAGCCTAGAGATCAGAGACTCATGGCAGCCGCGTATCCCCAAGTTCCAACCCAGGCCTGGCACTATGGAAAGTTACTGCTGAATGAAGAGACGGGCAAATAAAGCATGCCGTGTGGATGTTCCCTGCTCTGAGACAAAGGGAAATCTACATCCAGGCTTTGATGCCACAGATGAGGACTCATTATGTTGAGCATGGGTTGACCCTTGCCATTTGCTGCCCTAATCTGCCCTCAGGTATTTTAGCTCATGCAAAAGAAAAACTGGAAATAAAATCTCTCTCTCTCCATATATTCATAGAGTGTTTATTTACAGTCTGCAATGGCACTGCTGACAGCGTTAACTCCTGTATGTGTTGGTATATGTTCTCCATTTTCATGATTAACATTTAAAAATATTACACTGAGAAAAACAATACTACCTTCAGGTTGATTGAGTAAAGCACAGATAATAAGCTCTTCGTTGCACACGTTGTATTTAACAGTCTTATCGTTTGAAGATGATTTAATTACTTGAAAAGATAAATAAATGATCACTGAATGATTCCGTAGGTTTGGGGTCTGCAGACTGAAGGGGGAAATTCCTATGATCCTTTGTGGCCAGGAGAGCCTGAGAACGACATTCACATCCTGACGGAGATGATAACTCAGTCCCAAATACAGTTCTGGAGCTGAGATGATCCTTGGAGATGGATCACGCAGTTTCTTTGTACTAAAGATGAGGAACATGGACTCCCAGAGTTTGGGAGCCAGGGAAAGCCAAAGCTTGGGTTTTGCAGCCACATAAACGTGAATTTGAACTATACATGCTTTGCAGTGATTCGGGGTGTATCCCTGGGTGATTTACTCAACCACTCTGAGCCTCGTTTCCTCCTAGATAAAATGTGTGTGATATTTCCATAAAATTGTGGTGAAAATAAAACAAAATGGTGCGGACCATGCCCTGAGCAGACTGCCCAGCACTAGAAAAGTCATGCACCTGGCCAAGACTAATCCTCACTGTCATTACCTAATTCTATGTAGCCTGTTAGTGATAAAACCAGGATTTGGACCCAGGTCTGCCCAGCACCAGGCAGTGAGTGAATTTCACACCTCCAGTGCTGACCTCCTGTGGGTCTCTCTTTCTCCAGAAGCAGAGAATCAGACTTACCCTGGAGCAGTTTCAACATTTCCACCCGCCCTTGGAGAACATCCTGGTCAATGAAAAGGGACCCTACTTGCTGCACACCTTAGCATCTGAATTCCGCAGCAGAGTGCTCAGCAGCGTGCCCACTGACCCTTTTGCCAGCTCTGCTGTGTATTTGACACGGGAGCAGAAGCGATGATTACCCCAAGCCTATGCTCTGTTCCAAGTGTAGAAATCAGAGGATAAGCAATGTGATTCAGGGGGTCCTTTCACGCTTCCTCTCCCACTCTCGGTGATTTCCACAGACATGGCATAATTCCTGTGATTTGATTTGAAACCATAGACCAGCTCGGTGCTGAGCGATGAGATCTGAGGGGGAGTAAACTAGGCTGGAATTAATTTGTATAACGGAATCCGATTGGTTACAAAGCTGTGTTTGTTGCAGCGGAGACCAGAGCCCCTGGGCTCCCCAACACCAACACGGGGACCCCACACACAGAGTGGGGTTTGCAGCTCCGGCGCGGGCCTCGGTAATATCCTAATGCAATGATAACACGTCTCAAGCTGTAAATCACCGCCCTGGAAATGAAAAGAACAGGGCAGCCTGCCTGATCCTTCCCGCTCTGTGGGGAGGAGAAACCTGAAAAACCAAAGCCGCTTGCTTTCCGCTAAGTGCTTTCGTCTTTCTTTCTCCACCCGGTAACAGTTTCCAGCAGGAGTCCGAATATACTTAAACACCCATATATGTCATTTCCTTTTACGGAGACAAAAGCAGGCACAGCGAGGGAGTTTTATGCTCAAGGCGCAGTAGCTTATGACGGGCGATCTGCTCTTGAGATACAAGGGCGAGCCTTCCACTTAGAGCTGGTGGTTTTGCAAATCCATTTTCCCGTCATGTTATTACTCCCGTGACTTTCAGCAATATTTATTTTTCTGTCCAAGCAATATGCTCCAATCGTAAAATAAAGTCGCTGTATGTTTCTGTAGAACCTCAATGCTTACGCATCCCGGCGTATGGTTAGAAAGCGCTATTATTTTTCCATTGCTTTTTCAGAGAGAGAGAGCAGCAGGGAAGGAGGAAGGGGTGGGGAGAGAGAGAGAAACATCGGTGTGGGAGAGACACACCGATTGGTTGTCTCCTGCACACACCCCGACTGGGGCAGGGAGAATCTGCAACCTAGGTGCATGCCCTTGACGAGGAACTGAACCTGTGACCCTTCGGACTGTGGGTCGACGCTCTAACCACAGCCAAACCAGCCAGGGTGGAAGTGCTTTAATGGAAGGACTGTTCGAAAACCACCTTGGGGGTGGGTCTTTTATAAAACCTGTTAGAACACTGATATAATTTCCTAATTATTACCAACATCAGGGGCTTCTTAGGAGGGCAGTCTCCTATTCATTTTCATGCCTGATTCCTATAAACTCCCTACCACTGAATACATCTATCAGATCTCTAGATTTTAAAAGCCTTTCTAAAAAAGAGATAAAAAAAAAATCTCCCTAAACACATCGTGTTTTAACCCATATATTTAGAAATTCTGAAATGGGTTTGAAAATAAGTAGCAAAGATTAACTTTTGTTGAATGGTGCTGTTTAAGGACCTGGCCCTACTGCATTGGGATGGACGGATGTAAATATCTTCTATGCATCTTCACTTCGGTCATTGCCATAAAATATTTTGTCTTCCTATTTCTGGTTTGGTTTTAATATGTTAGTCACAGTATTACTCCCATCTTCTCACCCCTCCCCAATCACTGGTGCCATCGAAACTTAAATTATTTTCATCGTAAGGCTATTGTATGTGTATGGGGATGGGTGTCTACATTTGAAATGCAATCTTCTCTCAGAGAGGCTTTATTTTGATAGGATTGTAAGGGATAGAATGCAGGTCCTGGAGCCAACCCTCCAGGGCTCAGATCCCAGCTCCTCCACTTGCTGGCTCTGTGACCTCAGACCAGTTACTCACTCTCACTGTGCCTCAGACCACTTCCCCGCACAGCGAGGATAACAGTATCACTGCCATGTAGGGTTACTGTGAAACTTTATTGACTCAACTCATTGAAAGCATTTAGAAGAGTATTAGGCATATAATAATAAATGTTAATTATTATTATTATTATTGTCGTCATAGTCATGTTATTAGCAGACATCAAGTCCTAATATTGGTTTACTTTAGGTGGCGTCTAGGCTGCTGTTTTTATCACAGTGACCATAGCATTTCCTTGTGAACTTCAAACACAAACAAATGGCAAGTGGGTATTGATCACTTGTTGAGAATACATACTCCACAGCCAGATGTGATTCTGGTTCAGATTCTAGCTCTGCTCTTTATCAGAAGCAGAACCTTGCACAAGCTGACTAATTTTCCTGGGCCTCAGTTTCCTCACCCTTTAAAATAAGGATACTCACGGTACCTATTCATAAGTTTGTTATAGAAACTTATTTGTTAGATGAATATATAATGGCTATAAAAAGTGTCTAAGTAAATTTTCATTCTGAAATTGAATAAATTAAAAAAGTCATGTCTGAAAATTAATCTTATACATACCTGAGACTGATCATTAACACAACACTGTATGTCACATAGTCACATAAGCACTTACAAATAATGGGCCCCATGAATTACTTTTAAAGGCAAGTAGGTTTTGCTGGTATTTCCAACAGAAGAAAATAGACAATTTCATCTTTCCAACAAAAGGCTTTTTATTTCTTGGTCATGTGGAAGCTCTTAAGTTCATTAGTATCGAGGTAGAATTTTTTTTTTTTTTTTAAAAGGAAATGAAAAAAGTTGTCATCTGTGGCAACACTTTTAGTGTCAGAAATAATTGTGCTTTACAGCAAAATGGCAGCCAGAAGAGAGGTGCAGAAATATCACTTTAATTAAACCCTTCCTTTCAAATACATTTCACAGTTTGTATGCGAGAATAATTTATCACCATGTGAATGAACACTTAATACCTGGCGTGCTGTGAAATGGGCAGGGATCTTATTGCACCATATGTTCTTTCCTTTCTATTTCTTCTTGAGATCCTATGGTGGCGATATCAAGTTTGAACTGTAAGCATGTGGTTCAAATCATACTTCACCCTTCCATGAATAGCCTGCTTTGAGGAACTCGCTCGCTGGACACGTAGTCATGAGTAAGATATAATCCCAACCACTGAGATGCATTGTAGGTTGAGAGACACCAAAACCAAAAGTCCGTCTCGTTGCTTCCCGTCACTAGCTTAGGTCCCACCAAGTGGGGAGAGAGAGATGCAAGTGGGGCCAGAGGTTTCAGGCAAAGGAGGTGGGATGAGGTAAGATCACTCCTGGTGGCATTGTTAACAATCCACTCCCGAGGGGGAGGTGGCAAAGCATCTAGAACCACGTGCCCCTATGATGCAATTAGAACTGGTAACGTGAGAGCCATCTCCATTCTCAGTCCCCATCAATCATATGTTCCTCTCCCGGACTCCCATGATGCCCTAAGTTTTTCTATTATTACAGAAACCTACCCAAGCACAATTACGATGAATAATAACGTAAATATGGAGTGCTTACTGTGTACCAGGCATGGTGTGAGACTTAGGGGCATTACTCGTTTAATCCCCTTGTCTGCCTTGCAGTGAGTATGAGTCAGTTAGCTTACTCCAAACCCATAGCCAGGAAGTGGTAAAACTGGCACTCGGACCTGGGCAGCTGGACTCCACAGCACACGTTTTATCCCCATACAGATCCTGAGGGGTTTCTCTGTGTGTGTGTGCATGTTTATCGCACCCACCACGTGGTAAGCTCTTGAGAGATGGGGGACTATCTCTCACGTCTGTCTCCTCAGTACCTGGGTGAAGTGCTCACATGGTCCAACATGGGTAAGAAACTAGGAATTGAGTTGAGATGAGGTCGGGATGGAGCCTGTAGCTAATCTGACCTTTGCTCTGCCTGCAGAAGCCGCCTGGGGAAGTGGGCAGCCCTGACGTGATGTGCGCAGCGAGCAGAGACATTCCCTTCCGAGAGAGGTCCGCGTGACGCGTCGGGGAGGCCACCGTCGGCCAGGTCGCCACACGGTTGGCGGAAGGGGCGATAGCCGCATTCTCCTGTGCCTACCACGTAACCAAAAATGAAGGAGAACTACTGTTTACAAGCTGCCCTGGTGTGCCTGGGCATGCTGTGCCAGAGCCAGGCCTTCAGCGCCGAGCGGAGGAGCCACCTGCGGCCCTCGTTCCACGGGCACCACGAGAAGGGCAAGGAGGGGCAGGTGCTGCAGCGCTCCAAGAGAGGCTGGGTCTGGAACCAGTTCTTTGTGATCGAGGAGTACACCGGCCCGGACCCCGTGCTCGTGGGCAGGGTAAGGCCGCTGGCATTCCACGGCGGTTTCTCTCCCTCCACCCCCACGGGAGAGGATCGCCAGAAAAAATCCAGGGGGGAAGACACTAAGGGTCTGGCCATCTGCTAAGAACCATAAAACACTGTTCACAAATCCTTCCAGCCTTTCTTTTCTCAATTCACAGACTTACCCATGTTGGGAACACTTCTGTCTTCCGCTTACTCTTATACCACGAGAGCTACGCTGTTCAATGGCTGCGCAATAGCGAGCTGAATGGAAACGGCCATTCTTAGTTTGCCATTCTCCAGATGGGGGCATCTCCTGGCCATGCCAGTCCCACCCGGGTGCCCTCCCCTTGTGTCCTCCTACCCTCTCCGCATCTTTCATCATCGCTTTCCTTTTTGTATTGCATGGGTCTGTTTGTCTGTCTCCCTTGCTGGAGCCTAATGCTACTGGCCATCAGGAACAGTGACACCCTTGGGTCCGCAGGTCCCAAGGATGGAGGTGTCATAAGAGTGGGTGGGATTCTGTCCGCTTTGGCTCAGGCCTGGCAAAACTCAGATGGGATGCCTCGGAGTCCTGGCACTACTCAGACTCTGCGTTCTCCGTGGCCCCTCCAAAAAGGTTCAAGGGGAGAAAGAGTCCAAAATATGTTTGAAAAACTGACTACTCACTATCATTTAGGGTAAAGCATGCAGCTGTGTTTCAGAGAACAGTGACATTAACGACAAGGAGACAGGTGTTCACATACCTAAGAACGGAAAGCCTACTGTGTGCAGGTGCAGAGCTAGGCAAATGGCGCACTAGTGTCAAGAGTCCCTGACCTCAACGGGGCCTTACCTGAGCATCTGAGAAAACCAAACTGAGGAGTAGGGTAATGATGAAATTGAATACGAGTAATTTTGAATTTACATGGTAACATTTGGGAGAGATGAAGGGAGGTTTCCTGGAGACCAAGATAATAACCTGTGACCGGAAAGAGGAGCCGGAGGGGGAAGGGACAAGAACAGATGTGAGGGTGCTAATTTCTGAGCCTTGTAGATCCAACGAAGTTATCTTGGCTGCTCCTAAACATCGGAAGAGCATTCCCTATTTATCAAGTTGACACATTTGGAGGAGGTCCATGTTCGTGTCTCAATAATACTGTTCAAGTTTGGGAAAGAGTTTTTTTTTTTTTTAAGAGATGAACTAAAGAATTTTATTCACTTATACCCCAAAATGGGAAGATTATACCCAAAATAGAAGTCGACACGGGAGATGGGAGGGCAGGGAAATCACTATATGGAGGAGATGGGCTCTGTGCCCAGAGAGGAAGAGGGGCCTTCGGCTGCAGCAGGGGCCGTGTGGACTGAGCCACGTGGAGAGCTGTGCAGGAATTGCTTAGAACTCCGCCGTGGGACTTTCCGAATGGGGTGTAGCCTGTGTGTTTGGGGGGGCAGAGCTGGAGAGTCAGGACCTGGAGAGCTGTTTCAGCATCTCTGAATGCCCACTAAGAGGAAGCATAGGGAAAAGCGGGGGAGGGAGGGAAATGAAGTAGAAAGTGATGTTTAAAATCCAGGCACACAAGAATGATCCTATGGATCTTCCTTTCGAGGTACTGCCGATATGTAGTTCCCAGCAAATTGGGGGGTAGGCTAGTTGACTTGTTCCCCAATAACCTTTGATTTGACCACGTTGAAGGCTGAGTGATTTAAGATGCTCTGAGAAAGTGGGATTTGGCAAACCGCGGGCTCCCGGGTTTCTTGCCGGAAGCACAGTCTGTCGTGCTGTGCGGAGGGGGAGCCATCCGTCTGCGGAGTTAGGAACTGGCTGTGTTTGCCTCAGCTCCTGGGTCCCCTGATAGCACTGGATGGTTTCCCGAACTGCTTTTTGTGTTGAACCTAATAAATGCTGTTGTCAATTGTATGGACCATCTTTGTTGGGGAGGAAAAAAAGGAATTTATTTGTGACTTTGAAATCTGAAAACAAGAAAAAATTATGGGCAGTATATTTTAAAATATTTCAGTGTTTTAGTTGATCATCAAATAAAGTCTATTTAATTCCCAAGAGTCTTGCCAAATTCGTATGTATCTATAGGGATCCCCCCGCGCTGAAATAGTTGGTGTTTCACGGAGGCATTGCAAATCAATCAGGTGATTTGTGAAAAATTGAATGGATACAAAAAATTTTACAAAGCACTATGTTCAATCTTGTTTTGCAGCTCTGGACAAGCTCCTGAGGCCTTGGTTTCATAATAATTAAAATGGCATTGATAATAATAAATGTAAAATAGTATAATATAATAATTTATTATTATACAAATAATAAGCTAAATTTCTTTTAGTTTATACTAGGTTTTCTCATATAGTAGGTAGAACTGAGGGCTTTCTGTCCTGTCAGCTACTCTTGCAACCTATGAGAATGGTGAAAATAATGCTGATCTTTCCCACAAAGGGCATAATGAGGGCAGAGGAATGCAGATTAAGATGAAAACTGCAGAAATCGAGGTTGGACAGCAAGGGAGGGTGAGTTTATTGTTACAGGGAGATCAGACATGGAGTTTGGGGGCGTTTCATCTCGTGAAGCACAGAGCAGAGCGAAGGCAGAAAGGCACAGGGTGGGGAGTCAGGAGACCTCGATGACTTCCTGGCCCCGCCAGGTGTGGATTTAGGCAGGTACCGCATTTCTCTGGGCTTTGTCAAAGAAGGGGGGAAACCTACGGATATTTAAGATTTTTCCTGTGGTCTGAGAAGCTGGATATCTCAGGCCATCCGCCCCGCCCCATTCCCTGATTTCCCACCTACCACTCAGCAGGTCCTCTGGAAAGGTCTAACCCGTGAATTGTTTGTAGTAACAAAATCCTGGAGACAGTGTTAGTGTGTTTTGGAAGAAAACTGCTAAAAGAAACGATAATGGCTTCCATACAGTAGATGAAGGAGGTCGGTCTGTGTGTATCGAGGTGGAAGCGTCACTCACATTTATTTTTAGAGGGAAAACAGCGGGGAAGAGGGACTTGTGCCCTATGGCACTTTCCTGCATAAAAATAAACGGGGCATTCACGTATCTGTATAGTATTCGTGCATATGCATAGAATATGTCATGGGGCTGGTAGCAAGAGTTGTGTCAGTGGTGCAAATGAAGGAATGGGAATCAGAACTGAGAAAACTTAGTTATTGCACAAATGCCTGTTTTTCATTATTTGTAACATGCAAATATTTCTTTCAAAATAACTTGATTAATGACATGGATGTGTATATATTTTGTATGTGTGCCTATATGTGGGCAGGAGGGAGGGAGAGCATGAGTCTTAGAATTTAAAAAAATTCAGAATTCAGCCTGAGCCCTGGCTTCACTGCTCCCAGCTGTGTGACCTTGGCCAAGGAAGTTATCTGCTCTAACATTCCATTTCCTCACTGTGTGCGTGTGTGTCTGTGTTGTAGCAAATGGCACGTAAATGGGTCTCTATCTCCCTGTGCATCCTTCGTGGAATTACAAATCTCACTTTCTCTTTTTCTAGCTCCATTCCGATATTGACTCTGGTGATGGGAACATTAAATACATTCTCTCAGGTGAAGGAGCCGGAACCATTTTTGTGATTGATGACAAATCAGGGAACATTCATGCTACCAAGACATTGGACCGCGAGGAGAGAGCCCAGTACACGCTGATGGCTCAGGCGGTGGACAGGGACACCAACCGGCCGCTGGAGCCACCGTCGGAGTTCATTGTCAAGGTCCAGGACATTAATGACAACCCTCCCGAGTTCCTGCATGAGACCTATCACGCCAACGTGCCCGAGAGGTCCAACGTGGGTGCGTACAGCTGTGGGGACCCGTTCTGCCTGCAAGGCCGGTGTCTCCGGGGGCGGGTGGGCTGGTAGTAGAACTTAAGCTGCGCTTCCTATCGTGGAATAACAAATAAACATTGTATTTGTGTAGTCTTAGGTTCCCAAAATGGACCTGAGGTTTGCAAATCTAAACTCACAAACTCTGAGGGAGTGTGGAGAAGTGGAAAGCAGGTGATTGAATCCAGGTCATACTGGCTCTGGGACTTATTAGCTGTGTGACTTGGACTTAATTATAGCTATTCTCCTAGTCTTAATTTCTCCTTCTGGAAAATGGGAATAACAGTTTCCAGTCACACAGGATTAGAGATAATACGCGTCCACAACTAGTGCCTGCCGATGTGTAATTAGTAAGTCATGGTAACGTGTGTTGCATGTAGGCACTGTGCTAATTAATGACGTACATGCACCACTGCATTTAACTTTTGTAAGGATTCATCCTTGCAATGAGGTGGTTCCTATTTGACATATTTTGCAGATGGGAAACCCAAGCTAGAAATAGGTTAACCAGTGGGGAGGGTTACATAACACAGATGTAAAGTAGGAAGGGTTGTAATGGACTTGGTGGCGTTCTAGATGCAAACTAAGCAGAGTTCATCACTGCCCCGGCTGCTCCATGGTGGCAGAAGTAGAGCCCATTCTCCTGTATAAAACTCCACCCCTAGAATACCCTGGCTTCCTGGGTACAGCTCAGAAAAGTTGTTTGCACAAAATGAGGAATTACAGAAGTGTAATTAGAAGAAAGTGAGATTTATTGTTCACCAGGTGGAAATCACTGGCAACCTTGTGTGTTGAAGGGGTGTCAGGTGGGACCTTTCCTCTCCGCTGAAAATGTCTCGGGAAGAACTTGGGTTTGGTTGCTTGCTGGGTTGGGGTTAGACTCTCCACTCCAGCAATAACTCAGTTTTCAAAAGAGACTGCAGAACGTCACACCTCCATACCCAGTATCTCGCAAGTACAGTGGATGGAGAAGAACCCTGAGCAGGGGGACGCTGGCAGAATACATGGGCGTGCCCCAAACAGTGCCTGGCACAGAGGAGTTTGATAATTGCCAGTTCTCTCCCTCCAGCATCTCCACCCCCTTTCTTCATGCCCTCAGATACTTGTGTCTATCAAGGAACATGTTTTTTAGGAAAAACAGAATCTCATTTCCTTCTATTCCCTGGTTTGCTCTCATGCTGACCCACAAATGCTCACCTTACATTGCACCAGATGTCTGCTGGTGGTTTCTGCTGTATGACTACCAGACCCGTTAGAGGTGGGAAGATGCAACTGTCAGGCCAATAGGGAATGGCATTCTGTACTGTACTTACAGCCACAAATTAATTCAAATGTAGTATTAGTGACGTTGCATGCAAAGCAGCAATAAAGTGGTGTATCTGTGGCTCTGTGACACACAGAAGCCTGCATTCTGTCCTTCCATGAAAAGCGAGTAGTCTTCAATTCTCCTTTATTATTCTCTTTGGGAAGGCTTTTATTTAATTATTTGATAGGCTGAACATTTCAACTGCATGGGTTTCAGAATATTTTTGAAATACTGTCCATAGAATTATTTAACTACCAAGCACAGCAGGATGTACTATGAATATAGAAAATTCATTTTTAAGGTATGG